TCTGTAACCTAAATTTACACTAGAGACACAGGTTTCACACTGTACCTGACCTAGCAGATATACAACGGTCAGATAAATCACTCGTTAACTCTGGGTGATCACAGTACCTGCAATCACAACAATAGACTCCTATCCACACCTGTAGTTACCTTCAAACACTGATATAACTTTACCCATATGCAGGAATCTAGCAGTATATGTGATACTGACTTAGCTTGGCTCCTACCTAATCTCCAGCTATTCTTCCCTAAGGTCTCTTTCAGGTCCTGAAGTTCACCCCAGCTGACTGTTGTGGGAATATTAAGCATGGGAACAGACTGCCAATAAAACCCTAAAACATCAAGGAACCTCATCCTCTGAGGTTTTCAATGAGTTATATAAATACCAGTGCAGGCAGACTGAAATAGAGCTGAGTGTCTTGCTCATTGGATGATCTCTCAACATCCTACCACTTCCTATAGATTGAGCTTTGGCAAAATGTCTGCAGCAGCCCAAGTAACTTCTATCAGTTAAAATCACGGTAAGTCCCATGCTTTATTACCTGGTAGTGATGTGCCGTTAGCTGGAGTTGGCACATGAGTAATGGAGACTGGTTAAAAATGCTGACAGAGAACTACTATATGGAAAAAGTCAGAACCAGGTCAGCAAGAGATGACGCAGTTGGAGTACCAAAATGCCTACAGCTTTCTGCTGACGGGCTGCGAAGATATTCCGGTCCCACTTCCAGCAGCGTCGTTCTCCCTTGGACCATTTACCAACTCAGCTAAATCCTTGCCCCAGGAAACAACCTGTTTTTCATTTACTTGGCCTTATGCCAACTTCATGCTCACCTCCACAAGCTGCTTCTGTTTTGTATATGCTCCCGCAGAAGCATTTAATGATATAATCACCTGGATTCTTTTGGCCTAAAAACTATTTTATTTCCTGCTGCAAGTTCTCTTGTAACTCCTGGCATCATGAGCTAAGAGGTCTTCCTTCCTTGACTTTGCTGTGCTCAGTTGGAAAAGAACAATTCCAAATCAACACAATGTTGCCATGAGGTCACCTAATTAGTGTCTTTGTTTCTCTGGGCAAATTTTGATGACTAACAGTTAATAATGATTGTAATAGAAGACCAAAGAGAGTAGGACCCCTCTTTCACTCTGTCTCAGCTCTTACCAGTTTGAGATTCAACAGATAAAGCTTGGTCTTTCTTATTTTGGAGAGTTTGAGTGCAAATTCCTGCTTATTTTATGATATCATTATGGGGGGCAGGGGAGAATTGCTGCAAAACCCTCTTCAACACAAAGGTTTCCATTCCAGCCCTGCTCCCTATCTCAGTTTCATGTCAGTTTGCTAAATCTGAGCAGCAGTGGCTTGGCATCCAGGTTGCTCGGCAACCTGAGTAGAACCCAGCATAAAGGGAAGTTTGAGATTGCATTTGTATAGCAAACTGTCAGATAACCATGCTCATCATTGACAGTTTATCAAAGCAAGCTGGCCAGACAACAGACGCTTGTAAAAGATGATAGATTCATCTGTCTGGCAAGCCTTAAAACATGAGGGAGGCCAGTAGTACAGATTTCAGAAGTCTGAAATAAAAGCAAACCCCCAAAAACATAGGGGTAGGTTAGAGAGAAGATAAACAATCTCTATTCATTTGCGGGAACAGGGAACCTTGATCATGATACAAACATATTATGCTTACCAAGAATGCAGATAAAACAGAAACTTGACAGTTTGGACTGGTAAAACCACTAAAACTCATCCATAGATAACTATGCACAGAGAACAGTATTTTTTCAGTCCGCAACCCCCAAAGAACAACAAACTTAATTTTAATTTTAATCTTCTGTTACAGTTCCAGAAAAAGGTGGAAAACCTGAGCTAGTTTTCTGAGGAAATAAATAAATAAATAGAAGGAAAAGTTAGAAAGAAAGCGGGAATGAATTTATCTGAAGAGCTGAGGACTTGAAGCTGTTACTGCTATCCAGCTCTGGAAGTACGGAGAATAATTAGCAAAGATGGAAAATGTTTTTGCGAGTAGCAAAAGCAGAAAGCACAGTTTGTTTCTAGTGCTGAGCCTGGCTGGCATCTTCTCAGCTCCTGAAAACCAGCATCAGCACACAGTCACATCCCCATCAACAGCCCTGAGTCTGACAAGCAGTGTCAGGCAATCACAAACATTGTGAGCAGGTTTTTTTCTTGTCACCAACCTGTAACAGTGCTGTAGAAGATGCAGACTTGGACCACTCACCTAGGTTCTTATTAAGAACAGCATTAAAAATCGTAACACAGAGCAAAGAAGAGGAAGAAGGGGAGGGAGACAGAAGAAGGAGATGAAGGCAAGTCTCACAGTTTACCCTGTGATGGTGACATGGGAACAGGCTTCTGGTCTGGTCTGTCAGGCTGGTCCCAGGACAGCCAGAACTCACAGCTGACATGGAAACTCATCCCATCATCTGTACCCATCATGTTGGCATCAAACCACCAATCCCCACAGGACTGACCTCCAAATCATTCATCCCCTTAAAGCTGTGTCTGTTAGGTCTAGCTCTCAACCATCCATGTTGACTTCTGTGTTTTCAACCCATTGTCCTCTGTCTTACCAAACACAAATAGTTCTTAAGTTGATTCAACCTTTTAGGTTGAAACCTTTGCATTCTTTACATTATTTCTGTGCACTTTCAAAAGCAATGTTTTTGTAGAACAGGCTGACCTGGTCTGTCATCCCTTTGAACACCCCCAGGAGCATCTGCCTATTGCCAAGGGTCCAAAGAAGCCTGGCTCACATCTTCAGGCCAATAAATACATATACAGGTCACAGCACAGGTCTGGGAGTAAGCATCTGCCTAGGTTGGCATCACTGCTGTGCCTCTCAGCCCATACTGAGGCAGGGCTCTCTTTAGTGTGCTCCCTTCAACTTCCCATGGGAGCTGCTACACAACAGGATCCCTGCTTCAGACACAGCCAAGGAGAGGAATGAGCAAGGGGACAGAGAAAGGAGGTTAGTGAGAGGCAAGCAGAAGTGTAAAGGGATGGGAAAGACCACAAGGCTCATATACTAACCTGTGACTGTCGTTTGCTCAGCCCAGAAAGTTATAAGAAGACACTGTGGAACTGCTACTAAACCTGCAGCTATGTCTTCTCCTGGTGAAAGAACTGAGCCCCTGAAGACTACTCTAAATACTTTTCAGAGCCAGAGATAGCCAGCTGGGCATCCAGGAGCTGGACCTGTTGCTAGAAGGGGAACAAAACCAAGAAAAGCCTTTAGCAAAGGCTGTTCCTCAGCTGTGAACTGTATTTGCTCTTGGTGGCGATATGACTGTGCTGTTTACAAGAAACAGGCTCTTTTGCCATGTTCTTAGATTGCTGGAAATGAAAGCCAACCACCCACTTCATCGCAAAAGAGAGCACCTAAAAAATAACCATCCTCATATTTACAACCAACTGCACTCTAAGAATGGTACCATTGGAAGGAAATAACTCTAGCTGCTTTTTCTATTTAGAAACAATCCCTATGCCTTCCTGAGAGGTGTGTGGTTTGCAGTTGGTAGTGCCAGCTGCAGAACCTCATGACCCATGCTGAGACTTCCTTTATTATCTACCTTTGCATTTTCTTGATTAGCCACTTCATAATTCATCCGGTTAGGGTAAGCTGATGGGTGGTTAAGATCAGCAGTACAAAAGCATGCGCTCATTTAGCTGCCACAAACCCAATGCTAATCATGACTGAAGAGAGGAAAGTAGGCTTGTTTTCTGCCCACAAAACAAGTGAGGACACCCCCACGGGCTAGGCTTATCGAGATGGAGAGAAATAGGTCAGGAGTAAGAACCGGTGTGTGCAGGGTGCGATTTCCTGGTCAGTGGTTACTGTAAAGGAGAGCTGGTGTTAAGCAAGAGTGAGCAGAAGACGCCTCCATGGGTTTGCGCTCCACCACATGAAGGGCTTGGTGGTCATAACGAAAGAGCCGCTGCCACAAATGAGTACAAATGCTTGTAACTGAATGAGATGGTTTCCCCACCTAGTTACCCACGGCTTGTTGAACTGGCACCCAGTGACTCCGGGGCAGGGAATACACCACACTTGACAAACAAGCACCAACTCATCCAACCTATTTGAAGGAGAAAACCCAGGGTCTAACTGTACCAGATGGATCTAATTCAAAGTGTCGTCTATGCAGCTAAAATACAATACAAGAATGGTTGCACACACATTTATCCTTCTTTAAAAGGAAATACAGACTTAAAAACTCCACCAGCAGAACCCAAAGTCAGAGGTCTCTGGCTCAGTTCTGGGTGAAAGATGAGTAATGTCAAAAAAAGCAGCACTGCAGCAATCTGATAAAATAATAAACAGTGTGTTTATGTGGGCTGTGCTCCTCGTGCAGCTAAGGGAGAGAAAAGGCACCTCAGCTCAGCAGGCAACCCTGCCCTGGAGGTGCAATTCCTTGATGTTCCCTTTAACAGGAGGGATCCTTATCCACCACTTCCTGCACAACACCTAGTATTTGGCTGGTTAAAAACCAGTGAGATGAAGCCATCATTACACATTTCCCTGCATTCCTGCTCAGCCAACCATCCAGCTGGTGGAGGAGAACATTGCTTATAAGGATGACATCTTGTCTGGAACAGGGTAGGACAGGCCTTTCCCAGTTCCTGTGAAGCAGGATAGACTCCCATCCCAAATTTCGGCTGCAGACCTGCAATGTGATGTCTGCCATCCCCAAGGTGTAGAGAACCTGGCTGTATTACCAACTCCCCCAGTGCTGCCTGTACAACCTCATCTCACTTTCAGCCCCTTTTTAAATCTTTTTATCTGTTTGGATTGCAAGTTCTCTTCCACTCCCTCTTACTCATATCACTGCACTGGAAAAAGCCTGCTCTTTCCTGAAATCTCTCAGTGTTACTGCCACACAAACCCATTCTCTATGTATGCTTTCATTTTGAGCTGCCATAAAACAACATTCTTTTAAATAAAACACAATTTTTATTCAGTGGATAAGTTACTGAATAAATACAGATAAACAGTTGGTTTTTTTGATACTCTGGGCACATACAAAGCCATAAATACAATCATAAATAGAAAATATAAATAGAAATATAAACATACATTAGTTCTTTCCTGTTTTAACACTCAATACAAGTGGACTCAATTTTCTCCCAGAATATTCTGAGTTAAGTCAGCCACTGCTTCCCATGGAGCAGCAGTGACACAAACCCAGAATGCAATGAAAATCTGAAAATCAGGCCAGTTTACACTAGTAATATGCTAGTGAGCAAGGATGGCCAGAGAACGAAAAGGAGCTAGGAGATGAGGAAGGGAGAGAGAAGGTGCAGAAGAAGGATTTTTGTAGCAGTGATGGTTTGCAGGTATGCATTAGGGCAACTTACTTCCAAGGACAACATTTCCACCATCTTTCTCCCTCCATCACAAGTTACCAGTGCTTCCTGTTCTAAAATCCATAACAGCAAGAATCACTACTTTCAGAATGCAGTCTGCTCAGATTTGGAAAGGAGATGTCATGTTAAATGCTTGGGATGCAAGCTGGGTTACTGTGGGATTTCTCCAGAGGGATATTCATAGGAAATACTTCTTCTTCCCAGTGTTGCCTTCCTCCTCCTAGGACTGGTGGTGGATGACTGGAGCAACACACGTGCAGCCCACAGTGATGACTTTCTTCTCCAGCCGGTAGGTGTATTGGCAGCCCTGCTGCTCCCGCTGGAGGACAAGGATCTCCTGTTGGATGGGGACGGAGTTGAGGCTGTGGTCCTCCTGCCCCAGTGGGTTCACACAGCTGGAGAGGCGGCACTTGGCATCAGCAATCACCTGGGGGAAGCGGTTGGGGTCCTCATCAAGCCTGGGGATAGGGACACAGAAGTGTTTTATGCACTTGCACAACATGGTTTCGCAGGATCTTCTTGCTTATCTCCATGAAAGCACCATATTATTTACCTGTGTAGCCTCACTATGAGACACAACCAAAGAATACCCCTACCCTCAGATTGTATATTAGGAAAAAATTCTTCACTGAAAGGATTGTCAAGCATTGGAAGAAGCTGCCCAGGGAAGTGGTGGAGTCACCATCCCCAGAGGTATTTAAAAGACATGTAGATGGGGTGCTTAGGGACATGGGTTAGCAGTGGACTTGGCAGTGCTGGGTTAAAATTGGACTTGGTGACATTAAAAGCCATTTCCAAGCCAAACAATTCTATGATTTACAAAGATTGACAAGATGATTAGAACCCACTCCAATTTACACTACATGCAGTTCCTCCTGGAGAAATCTCACCCAACATCAAAATGTAAGCACACATCATGAAGCATATGTAACCTTCACAGGATTCAAGGCATTTGTTGAAAACCAGCCACCATGCACCACAAAGAAACATCTGTGAAGCGGTTCCTGCAATTTAGATAACAACTTACCTGTAATCCCAAGGAGAGAGAGACCGGTTCCTGACATCATGGACCAACCTAAAGGCATGATCTGAATTGCTGATACGAACGTCAACTTTCACCGTGGTAGGAAACTTGAGATTCTTTTGGTTCAGGCAATCTTCACTAAGCCTCACAGAGCCACCGTTCTTGCTGGGTCGGGGATGAGCTACCCTCCCGTGGGGTGAGCTCCCCACCGTGAGTGCTAGAACCAGCACCAAAAACAGTGATCTGATCTGGGAGAGAAGGGTGTTGTTAGCTCTGTCCAGCCAAGAAAGAAAGAGCACAAAGAGCAAAGTCTTTACTAGACTGAACCATCAATAGACCGTCTTATATTTGGGTGAGATGGGCCAGCATAAGCAAATAGCAAATGATGCTAATGATACTCATCACAAGAGATGCTAAATTCTGATTCAAATTCTAGTTCATAGTTGGCTCTTCACCAAGAAGAGCTTCTCTCCAATGAGTTATGAAAGGTCCACCTCTGTAGTCAAACAGCAATGATCTTATGATCTACAAGGTGGAATAACAACTCAGCTGACCTAAGCTTACAAACCTAATAAGCCATATGCTTTCTCAGAAAATGAAAGGTTGACCACCTAGCAAAAGCTTTTCAGAAAATCACAGCAGTTGGCAGTGCTGCAAATATTACCCAGGTTGAAATTTAAGTAGACAGACATTCACTTTACAGTGAAATTTCAGCAATTTTGATAGCATATTGTCTGAGAAAAGGACTGTCTCTCGCAATCCCACATCAGCAGTGCTGCCCTTACGGATAATTATGGATAGTCAATTGCCTTCTTTGTCACTCAAGAACCAACCCATTTGCAAAAGCTCAGGACACAGGGCTGTATGAGGCAGATTTAGCATCCCATTCATCTCCCACTAAGACCAAAAGTGTTGTTTGTAGATAGCATCCTGGGATCCGCATTCTGCTTTTTCTCTTGCAGCAAATGAATCTTAGCAGTCACAGAAAATGCAAGTACTCACCACTGCAGCATAGCTGGCAAAAGCCATGGCACTTTTTCTGCTGTTTAGGTGTATGCACGCAGTGACAGGGTACAAGAGCTCTTCTCCAAGACCTCTTCCACTCTCTTGTGTCTCAAAGCCAGCTGTGGTCTCTTTTTTATAGTGAAGCTCAACCAGTACCATCCTTTCCATTGCAGCATACAGCTGCCTTACCTGACCCGAGGTTAGGAGCTGATATTTCATTTTCTACCCCACTTCCTTCCGTCTAGCTCCAGAAAGGGAGGGCAGATGCTGTGTCATCAGAATCCCAAATTAGTCAATACAGTTTATAGAGGCAGAAAAAGAGATAATGGAAGAAAATGAGGGGAAAAAAAGTTCAGGCAGCCTTTTTTTTTCCCCTTCTCCCCCTCTCTTTCAAATATTAATGTCCTCTCACCACAAACACATCAGTGGATGCATCTTTACGTGCCCCACACAAACCAAACAGCAGAGATCAGCAAGCTGCAAACAAGGGTTTCAAAACGAGGACAGGGCATGGAACTTCATGGTTTAACCTCCCTTTGCTTCAACTGCACAATCCACACACACCTCAACTCGAGGATCCCTGTGTCCTTCCATGACCTGCCAAGGGAATAATAGATGCCCAGGGGAATTCTTCCCAGTGTATCTCAGGGCACCAGGAGCTGGGATGCCTTCCTCACTCATTGCTGAAATCCCATGGAGACACATTCTAGAGAGCTCTTTGAAAAACTCATGCACACCCTACAAGGGTCTTGAGGGCACTAATTGGCCTTACTAGCCTTGACCAGTATCACCATGGATTTCCCTGCACAGCCTTTTACAAGAAGTGCCTTACCAGTTCAGTTTTGGGCCCTCAGTCCCTGCCTGAGCTATGCTGTAGGAGGGCTGGTTTCCTGCCCCTTCTCTGGCTTTATCTACTGTGTGGACCTTGGAGCAGCATTTCTCCTGGGTGAACTCCTCAGGCATATGTGGTATACCTTTTCCCATGATCAGACTGTACCGCAATTTGCTTACGTCTTCTCTGAATGCCAGAGGGGTGGAGAGAATGTAAAGTATTTTTAAACAGCTTTTTTCTTATTCTCACAGTGGCTGTAGATGATGACAATGGCACAGTAATGTTATGTCTCTCCAGTAGCTGGACTAGACCTCCCAGTATCGCCAGTAGTGAACTTGCAGACTCTCTGGTCTCTCCAGCCTCCTGCCCAGACTTACGGCTGCTCCAATACCTGGAGTTAGGCCAGCTTGATGTCTTTCCAAGTCAACATACAAAGGCAAACAATATGCACATACTGGACCCCCAGCTGCTGGCCATTAGACCTTGCAACACTTACATTTAGGATAGAGAGTAAAATTACACTTAAAAAAAAAAAAGAGAAGAAAAGGCTTTAATAGGAAGACAGCACAGGCTGGGGTGATCAGGCACAGAGCTCAGTCAGACGAGCATACTGACCACAACCCCACTTACATGTAATCAGCCCTTATCATCCCTCCTCTCATTTTCCAGTTTGCTCCTCACTGATCCGCCCTGATGCTTTTCTTTCCCTAACTTTGCCCTTTCCCTTAAACATCCCATAGTAAGTCTTGCACAGTCCTAAAACGCTCTTGCCAGTGCACCACCACAAGTCTAATAGTCCTGTAGCCATCGAGGTGATCTGGGGAAAGCTTCCCCCATTGACTTGTCTAGATTGACAGTCTTCCTTGGACAGCTCCAAAAGAGCTGGGGCAGGGGATCCGTCGGCACTGTGTTATTTTGGTTCCTCCACCTGGTACTGCTCCTGTATTCCTTTGTGTTCATGGAAAATGATGGGTTTTAATTGAACATGCTAATAATTTCCATTTTACCATTAGGGGACAGAGGCATGAAAATAAAAGGAAAAGGAGAAGTGCATGTGCCCAGAGGCACCAGCACCTTTCTTTAGAAGTAAAAGCTATTGTTATTGCAGAAAAAGACCACGTAGCCAGTTTATCATAGACTCACAGAATGGTTTGGGTTTGAAAGGACCTTAAGACCATCTTGTTCCAACCCCCTGTCATGGGCAGGGACACCGCACGATAGACCATGTCACCTAAGATTATCTCCAACCTGGCCTTGAACACCACCAGGGATGGAGCATTCACAACTTCTTTGGGCAACCCATTCCAGTGCCTCACCACCCCCACAGCAAAGAACTTCCTTACATCTAACCTGAACTTCCCCTGTTTAAGTTTAAACCCATCACCTCTTGTCCTACCGCTACAGTCCCTGATGAAGAGTCTTTGTCCAGTGCCCTTATAGGCCTCTTTCAGATATTGATCAGCTTCTCTGTGGAGAAAAGCCTCATGAGAAGCCTCTCCCAAAGCCATGTAGCCAAGCTAGAAAAGGAGGACTGAAAAGTAAGACTCTTCACGCACATTCACCTTCAGTCCTCCAGAAAATCAGGAGCCTCTTACAAATTCATGTCATTTTCAAATAAGAAGGGACTAACCCAGTCCCTGCTCTATCACCTTGCTTGAATAGTACCTGCAGAAACCTCCACTGACTGATGCTTTATGGCACTGCAGGATGTTGTCATGATGTTGTGGTCTGATTCAGCTGATGGTTCAGAGACCAGCAACTCATGTCACATAAACTTTTCATGCTTCAGGTTACCAAGTTCATCTGAGGTAACATCAATTTTGTGACACGTGTTCCTATTCTGACAAATGCGTCTACTAAGACACAGGCAGTGGAAGACTACAAGAGGGTAGAAATACCAGAAACCCACTTCTGTACCGCAGAAACTGACCCCCCTTTTTTCCCCTGAGCAATCGCGGTGAAAGGAAAAGGGCATTGCCATGAAAATGGGTTGGATTTTTCAGGTACAGTGTTAAGCGGAAACTGTTACATGTGATGAAGCAATGACATTACCACACCAAACAGCGGGTTATTAGCCCTGACCACCACTTTCCACTCACACCTTCTATCTTCAGTAGTTTATAACTTCAGCGAGGATTCCCTCTTCGACCTGAAATTTCCTATGGCTTAATTTGTGTTGAAGTTCTCTGAAAATCTGAACTAAAAGAGGTCACCTGCACCACCTCCAAGGAAACATAGAACTACAACTCCTGAGCAGACAGAAACCAGAAGTACTCAAATGTCTTTGAACACACATGTACGAACACCAGGCACAGAGCTGTGACCTGCATTTCACTGACTCTGCTACTGAGCAAAGCAAACCCTGTTTCTCAGCTGCATCTGTGCAAATAAATATTCATAGCTGGTACTCATGTTTCAATGACATGATCATTTTCTGCTCTGGAAGCAGGTGCCCAGCCATGCAGGAAGGACTAGGGAGAATAGATATGTCTGGAATCCTAATAAATTAATAGGATATACCTGGAAGTAATGCTTCTGTAGCACCCTCTGGCCCACCACCACCCAGTCGCATGGATAGAGTCCATGGGTGTCTATGTAGCAGCAAGCTGCTATGAGAATAGGCAGCATTTTAGGGGTAGGTGTCTCAGTCAGCTCAACTGAAAAACAGCAGAGGACCTTCTGTAGCCTGCACCAGCAAAGGAGATAATGGGGGTGAAATCGCAACCTCTGAGATCTCCAGACACTGGGGCCAAATAAACATTTGGCTGAGCTAAAGCACAAAGCAGGACTCCAATCTCCAGCAGCTTACTCCTGTCAGCCCTAGCTATACCCCTTCATGATGTGTGACACTGTAAAATCACCTACCTTCTGATTTAGAGAGCTGACTGTACATATCCATGCTTATTGCTGCAAGGTTTGCTGATGGCACTTTTTATCACATCAAGACTCAAGACCAAGCTGTTGATCACAGTCAAGAGATGTGAGCTGGAAACACTAAATTTTCAGAGTAAACATGGCTACAATGGGCAAAACCTCATTTTTGGCTGCCATCTTAGCTCAGCTTCACACTTTTGCCAGAGCTGCGGGTTGAGAGGGAAGCAGGGATTAGGTGATGCTGATGGTCCTGGCACAGGGATTTTACCCATAGCCCCTGCAGTCTGGGTGCTCACCCAACCCTCAGCAGGCAGATAAACAGGACATTTAATTTATAGCATCAATAGGCCCACAGAGAGTAGGGGGAATAAAGGAGTTGAGAACTATAATACTAAGGTGCAGTGTGCTAAATAAAGCACATCTCTGCCATCCATCTCTTCCATTCACATCTCTGTGCATGGCCAAGTCCTGGTGGCACAACAGATGAGCTGGGCAAAGGGTGATGCACAAGGGCAGGCACACTGTATAGGGTCACACAACCCAAACAAGGGCTGGGGCAGAACTGTGTCTCCTCACTTCCATGCAGCAGGGATGAAACCAGGTAAACTATTAGGGGCACATGGTTTGAGAGGAGGCAACAGGAAACATAGAATCATAGAATAGTTACGGTTGGAAAGGACCTTAAGATCATCAAGTTCCAACCGCCCTGCTGTGGGCAGGGACACCTCACACTAAACCATGCCACCCAAGGTTCTGTCCAACCTGGCCTTGAACACCACCAGGGATGGAGAATTCACAGCCTCCCTGGGCAACCCATTCCAGTGCCTCACCACCCTCACAGGAAAGAATTTCTTCCTTATACTCAATCTAAACTTCCCCTGTTTAAGTTTTAACCCGTTACCCCTTGTCCTGTCACTACAGTCTCTATAGAGTCCCTCCCCAGCATCCCTATAGGCCCCCTTCAGATACTGGAAGGCTGCTATGAGGTCTCCACACAGCCTTCTCTTCTCCAGGCTGAACATACTAGAACAAACACTTAGCTTGCCAATATTGGATTCCCCAAATCATTATTTTTATTATGTGCGATTTTTAATCTCAAAAGGAGCATGATGTCCCTCAAGAGAGGTTGCACACTCACTATTTCCCAGTGGGAGTTGAAACTTATCACAGAATCATAGAATGATTACAACCCCCCTCCCGCGGCAGGGACAGCTGCCACTAGACCAGGTTGTCCTGACTTCTTAGAAAAAACCTGCAAAATAGGTGAGAGCATAAAGGGACTGTTTACATGGGCCTGTAGGGACAGGACAAGGGGGCTTTAAACAGACAGAGGGGAGACTGAGATGAGCTATAAGGAAGAAGTTCTTCCCTGTAAGGGTGCTGAGGCGCTGGCACAGGGTGCCCAGAGAAGCTGTGGCTGCCCCATCCCTGGCAGTGTTCAAGGCCAGGGTGGATGGGGCTTGGAGCAACCTGGTCTGGTAGAAGGTGTCCCTGCCCATGGCAGGGGGTTGGAGCTGGATGAGCTTTAAGGCCCCTTTCAACATAAACCGGTCTGTAATTCTATATACTGAGCTGGCTACCGGCTCACAGGAAACGTTCAGGGCTACAATCCTGCCCCATAGCATGGCAAAATAAACCAGATTTCCCTGCCCTAGAGCTCCTCCTGGTGTCTTACCATGGGAAATACAACGTTAGCAGAGCCCCAGCTGTAAGGACAGGGAAAACAGATGAGATGGCTCCAAAAACTATCAAATACCTTCCACTCCCTGCTGTGACCTGTGAGAGGAACAGCCTCCGAAAGACAGAGAAAGGTGAGGAGAGAGGAAGGAGATTACAGTGTCCTCCCTCCTACAGCAAGGCAATGTCAGAGCTGCAGCTATTACCAGGGAGCTTCTTATAAGCACCCAGGCACCTTTCCAGAAGAAAAAGGTTGGTTCCTTTGCTCATGAATGAGTTCATAAGAAAACACCACCCACACCTTGGAGAAGGCACCTGGGTACATTCAGCACATTGCTCCTGCCCAGGGGCTCTGCAGCATGGAGCCCGCACAGTGGTGGCCATGCAGGAGCAGAGCCTGCTGGCTCAGCTTCCTGCCCAGTCCCACAAAGCTCAGACCAGAGCTGCATAATAAAACCACTGACCCAGAACAACTCTGACCTTGTGTGCTCAACTCACCTTCACCAGCCTTGGCAGTTTTATGAGCCATGCACTGGCTGTAGGCCTGAGGTCACTGTATTAGTTCAATGAGCTCTTTAGAAAGCTGTAAACAAGTAAAATCCCCTCCAAGCCTGAAAAATGTGATGTCACAGCTACGTTGGATGAAGGGAGGTCAGAGATCGGGCTTTTGTAATTCAGAGAAGACAAATAAAGGTTCCCCCCATGCCTTGTGCAAGATGCTACCAAGTCTTCCTTAGGCACCAGAACACGTAGCTGCAGTGGGAGAGGCAGGAGCTGCCCATGTCTATTACCCATCCACTTGAAGGGAACTTCTGCAAGTGCCTGGTCCAACAAGTCAAAGGCACTATGGTGGATGTGCCAACATGGCCCTTGAGCCCAAAGGGGCAGGCAGCTTGCTGAAGGCATTCCACAGCAGCCCAGGTCCCCGGAAGACTATAGTTACATCCCTAGAAGTGGGAACAATTTAAATCAAAGTAAGCAGCAAGTCATGGGACAAACCCTAGACACTTTAATTATTCAAATCAGTTATTTAAGTCATCCAGAAATAAAAGCACATGAACAGTGCAGATGCCCAGAGATGGGCAGTGACAACAGCAAACAGCCTGTGCAGTTTGGGGATCTCCTCCAAAGCTTGACCTCAAACTCACCAGGATAAGAAAATAAAAGAAGCAATAAAAAGGCAATTGAAAGATAACCCCATACCTTCAGCAGCTCTGGCCCCATAAGCAGCCAACACTGGTCTGTGTGTTCAGCTTTTCCTAAAACCCACCCCAGCCATGGGAACCTGTTGGTTTCTAGGAACAGCCTTTTCTCAAGCAGCAGTCACCTATGTGTTCCCAGAGAGCAAGACAGTTCAAATCCCCCAAGGGGAAGGGAAAGTTTTTCGTATTCAGTAGTTTGTGGTTACATTCCACAGGATGAAGATTTGCAGCAGCTCAGCCATAAGGACATACAGGAGATGCAGGACCCAGGTCCCATAGCTTTGGCCTTTCTTTACTACAGGTTTCCATTGGTGGTGGTCATAGGGGCACAATCCCAGGCTGGAAGCCAAAGCCATCTACCAGGAATATGGCCCATGGGCAGCTCTGAGCATTCCAGGTCCTTCCCACCCACTTGGAGCCAAAACTCTCAGTAGGGCTGTGAAACAGCAGGTCAGATTATACTTGACCCCTCCAATGCCAGAAATCACCCTCCACAAGATGGATAGAGCGGGGGAAGAGGCTGGTCACAGCCAACGGGGCAGGCATCAGGCATCTCTGCTTGTGAGACAAGCATGTCTGGGCTATACAGCTGGGGAAAAAAGAGTAAAAAAAAAGGGAAAAATAAAAGCTTCACTACTAATAGCGGAGCTCTCATACTGCTTCTTACCACCACTGGTACTCAATGTTGGATTCCTAAATCCATTTTTTTATTCAAAGGCTGGAACTATTACCACCAAAGATAAACACAATACATTAAAAACACTGATACTTTGCACCTAAGTTTTTCCTCTTGGTTCCTTGCAGAAACAAACCTCTTCCCAAATAAGCCGATCTGAAGACAGCAACAGTAAGAGAGCTTCCAGAGCTCCTGGCTTCTTTTGGCGCCAGCAATGATGGAGTACTGTAAAGTGCACAGACTTGAGCTCCCCAAAGTTCAGCTCAGCCAGAGGAAGCATTCAGGAGTTAAAGGCAAGCACAAAGAGTCTCCAGACTGACAGTCCACAAGAATTTGGGTTCTTCCACCCAGATGCTCAGATTAAGAAGATAATGTCATCAGACACCATGATCTGGTTGTCATCTTGCATGTGGGCCAATGCCACCTTCACCTCATCCTGCGAGAAGGGCTCAGGGTTGTCACGGTTGATGGACTCCATCATGCTCTTCAGACCCACGGACTGAGCATGGGAAGCCTTGAAAACCTCCAGGAGACGAGCCTTGAATGCCTTCAACCTGGTCAGGGAAGGCAGAGAGTAATAACCCTTCAAGACACACTCACACAAGTCCTTCCCCTTCATTCCCTCAGGGATGCCTCAGCCCTTCCTGATTCCGGAAGCAGCACCCAGCAGGAAAGCCAAGAACAGAGCCAGAAGCACCCAGAACAGATGCATCCCCATCACTGGGCAACAGCTTGGACCCACCAGGTGGGGTGGAACATGCAGAGACAGGTACCTCCTCCAACCCCTACTCACCTCGGCTCAGCCAGCTCCGGCTTCTTGGCTTCGCCAGCGGCTGAGGCTTCGGGTGTCTTTGGAGTGTGTGCCTGAACTGGAGTAGAAGGAAGAGTTACCTTCAACCTGCCTGGAGTCCAAGCACCCAGAGAGCAAAAGCACTTGGCCTTGGGGTGGGCAATGCTGAACTCCCTCCCAACATTGCTCCTTCTGCAGCAGTTTGGAAGTGGACATCAAATTAACCAGCAATACCAACTCCCCTGTCTCACATGGCCATGGATGGTTTGAAACAAAGACTCATCTTCATCTGTGGAGCTGGACGGTGTCGCACCACGGACCATGAATGGCCCCAGGATGTGCAGACCAGCAGGGTAGAAGTCAGCAGCACCCTCAAGACCCAGGTGCCACTTGAGAAACCCCAAGGACTCACCTTCTGGCATCTCCTCCTCAGCGTCACTGAAATCGTATGGGTCATAGGAGTCCCCCTCGTCCCCTGTGCGTGCCTTCTTTCTCCTGGGTAGGGGAAGAAGATGTCTCCCCTGCACTGGTACTGGGGATCACCCCAACCCAGATGCAGGCCTGGCACTTGGCCTTGCTGAACTTCATGAGATTTCCATAGGTATTAAATAGTACTGGTCCCAGCACAGACCCCTGAGGGACATCATTCATTCCTGATGTCCACTGACTGCAACCCATTGGACATGGCTATCCAGCCAGTTCCTTATAAATACGGATGCCCCTCTGTTACAAACTGGGGTTGATCCACTAGACAGTGGAGTACTTCCCCGAGGCCAGCACTGCCTGCTGCAACTTCAGAAGAGGCTGGCGCCCCTTACATGACACCCCTTCCCTTGCTCTGGCTCCTACCTCCTTGTCCTGCGCTCCTCCTTGGGCTGTGACTCCTCATCCTCCTTCTCAGTCTCAGAGTCGTCCTCT